ATATGTACTAACCACCAAACATGGAGGGTGGTCTGGTGGTCTCCCACATGCCTTCTGGCAAACTGTAGCTAAGATGGCATTTTGGAGTTTTTTGAGAGAGAGTTCTCTTTACCTCTCTCCCAAGGTGATGCGTTTATGTTTTTATGTTTTTATGTTATTATGTATGTACAGCACTTTGTATCAGCTTTGGCTGTATTTAAAGTGCTCTATAAATAAAGTTGAGTTGAGTTGAGTTGAGTTATGTATCTGACCAGCTGTGGTTGTATGCACAGTCCTTCCAGTCAGAGCCTGTGAAGCTTCAGAGTCGCCATCGTTATCTCGGTATCTTGCGCTGTCACTCACTTGTGCTTTTCAGCCACCTTTAGGCTGAGCAGTTGGGACTGTTCCTTTGTCTTCATGGTGGAAGTTTTGCCTTGAGACTTGGTCTCCAATAGTTGGACCTTTGAGGAACAGATGGATTTGTAGTACAACAACCAACTGAAACCCCTCGACTTCACGCAGGTCTCAGTCTAACCAGTTGTGATTTCTAAAACCAACTGGCTGCACTGTGATTCGTCTGTGTTCTCATGAGGGAAATAATTTATTGATCATTTGTTGATCACTGTTAAAATCCCTTTTGATTCAAAATTGTATATCGACAAATCATGAAAGTGTTCATGGAGAATGCTTTTAATGGGCAATGTACAATCATTTCCCAACACTGACATTCACGTTGCCCAGTTTGTTATTGTCCAATAAAAACAGAATACACTTTTGAAAATATTGTGCCAATGTATTGGCTTCATCAGGTTGTATGATCATGTATGTGCACATCACAGCCTTGATGGGTAGAGAATCAGTTGGTTGAGTATCCATTCTCTTGTTATGGTCTCTATCAGGATCAGGGCCCAGTTCCATCAAGGGAGAAAAAGGAAAATCCTGGCTTATTTTGTTAGTCTCGCTAATATAAAGTCAGAGTTCTGTTCCATCACTGTGGCTTATAGGATTCCCTGGTCAGTAACCACGGTAACTGACACTGCTGAACTAGCAGGATAATTGTCAAGATTAACTTAGCTGTGTTTCAATGAATTTCCAATGTGTGTGTCTGTGTCAGTGCAGTGCCTTCCACACCTGGTGTTTATCTTGCCATCAACACCACATGCTGCTGCAGTGTAAAGAGACTGGTCAACTCAGCGTTCTTGGCCAGATCGTTCAGTCACCCGCAGTGGTATTATGCTACGGCCTTCTCCTGTTCTTTGAATCTCATCTTGCTAATTTGGATTATTTTGATAGCCATGACTTTTTCCTGTGCTCCGGGTTCATTATCCTGCTTCCTCAATGTTTGCCTCATCCATCTCTGCTTTCTTTTCGTCTGCCAGTCCAGTCCTGTGCTCAACTGTCTGTGGAATCGAGGGATCTCCAAATTCATCTCACCTACCTGCCAGAAATCCAGTCACCTGTGGCTCTCCCCCTGCCTCCACTCCCACTACAGCATCATCCGTCAAGGAATCCATTTTCCGCCTCTGCGCCTGCAGCTAACCTTTGCCTGGACACTTCCCCTGTCATCCTGCCCAAACCCCAAACTCCTTCAACCCCTGGCTGGAGTTCTGCTTTGCGGGTCCTCTATCACAGAACCCTCACAGCATCAGATTAGTTTCATTCTGATCAGTGATATGAAACACAACACTTTCACAAAGGCTGGGAGAAAGAAGCAAGTGAAAATAATTCTCATTTGAACAGATAAAAACATCACTGTTGCTCTGTTGATCAGGTGAACCACTGGAGACAACCCGTGTAGCCATTTACAAACACATATACTCACATACAGATATACAGTATATGAAATCTTATTTGTTCAAGGTGAATGAGAAACACCAAGTTTCAGTCCTCAAACGCAACCACAGAAACTGCATTCAAACCCTGTTTACTACAAACTCCTCTGAAACATGGGCTTGTTTGTATTTGCAAAGTTTTTTTTGTTTTTTTCAGTTTTACACTTTATTGTTAATTTCAGTTTTACATTGTCAAACAAGTTTTTACTTTTTTTCACTGAAGTAGAACAAAGTGATTCAATCAAAGAAGATGGAAATACCCAATTAGTTAATTGTTAAATATGTTATTATAAACGGCTCCAGATTGTCCACAAAGGTAAAAATCAAAGTGTGATAACTTGGTGCTCTGACACAACCAGTCAGTCAAACAGCCTACCAAACACAATGGGACACAACTGGGATATTTTTCTGAAACAAGACATGCTGTGCACATGATTGCTTTCATTACACACCGGATAAACTCTGCAGCCTTTATTCATTGTACACCAACACATTCTCTTTCATTTTGATCACTGAACGGTTCAGACCTGCTGATGATGTGCGGATCAAACGTTGTTCACAGAAGTTAGAGCTGGAAAAAAAATGTTGATGCCATTGTTCATGATTAGGAAAAACGTTGTCTCTGCTCACATCACACGGGGGGTGTTTTTAAGGGTCAGGTGGAGTCCCACTCGCCGCTGCTGCCCCCCCCCCCCCCCCCCAGCCCGCGTGTGACTCTTAATTCCCATGAAGTGTCAGAACATTTTCAGACAAAGGCTCCCTGTTCTCGCTGCACAGATGGGTCTACCGACGCCGAATTTGCTTGAAAAAACAAAAGAGGACTCTAACCGTAAGAGCAAAACTCGGGAGAAGTGTACCCCCACCTACCCCTTCCACCCACCCTTGTTCCAACCCCCATCATCCCTCGGTCCCAGCGGGGCGGTGAGGGGCGCGTGCAGTAAGTGTGCCTCTCAACTTCCTAGCAACGCTTGGATTTTTTTTTATATATACATATCTTTTTGAAGCAGCACAACTAGAAACCATGTCTACATGATTTGGACTCTGTAGACTTAATGTTTTTCCCATTTCAAGTCGTAGAAATGCTCTTGAAATGCACTGCCCCTAATTCCATTTAAACTGTAACAAACATTCACATCCCTGTTAGTCATAAAGAAGAAATAAATCAAACCACTTGAGTAAAGCAAGGTGGAAAACAGCTGAACATTTATAAGCTATAAGACAAAAATAGCCTCCTACATAGTAGTAGTAAGATGGCTGCAGACTTTTGATCTTCCTTTGTATAACTGCTTTCATATATTTATAAATATATATCTTCATGGGTTATGTGTTTCTACTGTAGGACGTTGGCACCTTGTCAGAATAAAACTACCTCTGCACGTTCTGAAGATTCTCTGCGTTTTTCAGCGTGAACTACCTGATGTTTAATACTCAGTCAAGCAGGACGCTGTGAGGCAGTGTGCTCCCCCAGACAAACATCTTTCACCCCCATCAACAGATTGAGCTTTGTGTTTCGTCATCACCATATATCCTTATATTGACAAACAAGCATTTCATGATAGCTTGGACGCCAAAATATCCAGGAGTCAAGCTAAAGGAGACAATTGCATCACGGAGTTCCTAAACAGGGGGGTGAGAATGGTTTGTTTTCAGTTGGACACTAACAACATGGACCCATTAGAAGCATGCAGATGGGATACCCACGCTAAAACTGCGTGGAGATCATGTGTCATGCGTGTAAGGTTTATAGAAAAAGAGTGTGTGTGTGTGTGTGTGTGTGTGTGTGTGTGTGTGTGTGTGTGTGTGTGTGTGTGTCACATCTTATGGATGAGAGATGGAGCTATACCATGGTGGAACAGGGAGTTTGGCTGTGCGGGATGCCGGTGTGGTGCAGGAGTGGGGGTGGGGTCATGCATGGAGGCTGGAGGAGGGTGGGGTTCAAGGCTCGGTAACAGACAGCCATCTGGTCCCCGTGGCGCGTGCTGCGCGCGTGGTTCCCCTGGGTGCAGTGGCATTTGATGGGTTGTCATGTCTCTCCAGTTTTTATTTGATATCTGCAAAATCTGAAGTCTGCAATTCAAAGTTTGTTTCATACCTCACAGGACACGATGGTTGGTAATTAACAAAAGAAGTCCAAAAGTTAAAAAGTCTAAATATTTGCTGGCCATGGTTATTGAAGAACAAGCTCCCTCACTATCCACCCGCTGTTTTTCAGCCCTGGCAACCGGGGGATACACCCTACAGGTAGAGACTCCCCCGGGCAGAAACTGCATAGAAACGTCATATGCAAAACTATTGTTGTCAAAATCTAAGAGCAGATGTTATTTGAAAGTAGCGTGGCTTGGGTATGTGATTGGAGTAAGAGTCTGTATCTCTGCAAACACTTTTCCATACACGCAACCCTGACCCCTATGTCAGCAATGTATGTATTGCACCCTGTTGTTCTAAGTGCGGATATTTATTTAAAACATTCAGCTTTACCTCAATGATATGTGATCAAACTTGGGCTAATAAGCATAAGAAGAAGTCAACAGCGTGGAACAGCAACAGGAAATCAAACAAATCTTATTAATAATGCAAAGTCAGAATTTGTTGTTTCAGATAAAATGTTATTTTTAATGTTTCATTAGCTCACCAAATAAATGGATACTATTCAGCCAACGCTTTGTTTCCAACCATAAATAGTTATTGGTGCGTAATTACGCGTCAATAATGTATTTGCAAAGAAAACAACCTATTCCATCTACTATGCATAAACCTCATTGTTTACTAACAATGAACTAAATTGTTAACTATTTAATATGATGTAGACGAAATTTGAAAGTTTGCAGAACTTGCATTGGGTGAATGGGCCAAACATTAAGCTTCTTTACGCACTTATTTCTTCACAGCTCCTTGAGGCAGATTTAGTTTGATTTAGTTTATGGATCATAACGCAGACACGCACTGCAGTTGTTACGCTTGGATTAGAGTAGAAGACAGATGGTTATCTTTCTAAATGTGATGCTTTTGTGTTTTTTTCATCGAATACGTGGCCGGAGCAAATCGTTTTGTATCGGCTTGGGGGCGTAGCCATGACGCACGAAGACCGACGCCACGGACCTGGATATATACCGCAGCTCTGGGCCGTTAGAGACAGATCTCCGCTGATTTCTCTCTGGACACTTCTCTGGCACAAAGACGACGCTGAAAATGTCTCCAAACATGACTTGCGAAGCTCTCCATTCTTTTTCTCCAAGGCTAACTGTGGCCAAAAGAAAACAGGCTCTTGAGCTCAGAAAGGTAAGCGAAGTCACTGAATTTTCCTTTATTATCTTAGACAGTTTCTCAGATGTCTTTCTCTTAATGTATTGAATCAATAATAAATATTTTTTTGATCTTTTCAGACTATGAAACCTTTGATGGAAAAAAGAAGGCGCGCCCGCATCAACGACAGCCTAAACCACCTGAAAAACCTCATCCTTCCTCTTACTGGCAGAGATGTAAGTTATTAAAACAATCTCTACACATGCAGATTTCAGATAGACCTATTCTGACGTCAAGGCGACATTTAGACCCATATGTTTAACATTTGTTTTATTATTTTCTCCAGAAGACTCGTTACTCCAAGCTTGAGAAAGCCGACATCCTGGAAATGACAGTGAGGTTCCTCAGCGACATTCCACCCCATCACACTAAAGGTGAGTTATTGTTCTGATTGTTTAACACGTTTCCTGACAAATGTATGAATGGCGGACTCATAATTTTTGAACAACGAAAATAATATTTCATCTCCTTTTCAGATTCCGCAGACAGTTACAGAGAAGGCTTCAAAGCCTGCCTCCAGCGCGTCTCCGCTCTGCTTCCCAAAACGAGCCTGGACCAAGACGCGTGCCAGCGCGTCAACGACTTCGTTCAGCAATCCATGCCCGCCACCGTCACCCCAACCTGCCGTAACTGCTGCGCCAAGAGTTTCAAGACTTTCCCTCAGATCCAGCAGAGACTCCTGAGCCTCAAATCCAGCTTCAGCTCCAGACCTGAGAGCCAGTCCCGCGGCAGCAGCGGCGCAGGGGCTCCCAGCCCAGCGCAGCCAGGCCCGCAGCCTGTCAGCGCTGCCATGTGGAGACCTTGGTAGATTTCTCAAGTGACCGGGTCTCCCAAAAGCATGTGAAAAGACTGTAAAAATATTTGATATCTAGGCAACATGTTGAGATAGCATCACGTGTAAATATACACAGTGATTTAATGCATCGTTTCCGTTGATGAATAGCCAGAATTCATCGTTAAATCGTATTGGTTGAGTATTATATACTTACGTTTTGCGCACGAGTCTGTTGTCCTGTATGAGTTGACAAATTTAGACAGTCGTATTTTTTTTTTAAATCTGCATGTATGTATACGGTTAATATTTAGTCCTCTCCGCGGACTAAGTTATTAAGGGCTATTGAAACAGCCCTGTAAGACCCCAGGGGTCAGTGTATGTTTGAATTTGCACCATAGACTTCAGTATCCTGTCTGTGCAGATGAATTTGTAGACATATTATGTGTCACTGTAAGTATCTCTGTTGGGATGTGTTTTATTTTTGCTATTGATAGCAGATGTTGTATATATACTGTATAAACACAAATAAAACTACGATGTCGTGGTTAGATCTCGTGTTGTCTCTACACTTTATTGTAAGAATATTGGTCTTTACTCATGTGCGTAATTACGCATCCTTAACGCACAAATGGCTACACACTGCTGACACACTACAGCCAAACTGAATGTGATTTGTATTAAAATTACAGGGACAGAAAAAAAAAAAAACAAGTCACATGAAATATCACACAGCAAAGCGCACACACAAAGAACCGTGTGCTATGGTACACGTGACTGAAAGGCAGCAGGGAAAAGGACAACGAAGTTTCAAGGCTGCCTCCTTCCAACAATAGGAGCATGGAAACTAAAGACAGCTTCAGCAGACTCCTTTGTTCAGCAACTATGATGTAATGTTTCCTTATATGTTTAATAAGAAAAGGCAGGGGCGACACATCTGTCAAGCAGATTTGAACAGAATAAAAACCGTTAGTCAGAGCAACTCTTGGATGGATGTTGTGGTCAAAGGCGCCCTCTACAGGTGCCATGAAACACTGCCCCTGGTGGTGCTATCAGCTGCATTCTCTGCTGCCCTCCTCCTGTGGTTCTAGGTATCGACATTGCTTTCCTATGTTGCGCAATCATCATGTCTTTTCCGTTCACTCCGTTGCAAGTCGTCGCTCACTACATGTAACCTGAGCCACATAACATACTTTGAAAGGAGTTTTTTTTTTTTTTTTTTGCTCCATTACACGAAACATCATTTCAGCATTACTGTGAGGTCCAAGTACTTTCCGCGCAGATGAGTCATTTCTCTATGAGAACGTGAGCAGAGCGGCCGGTGGACGCCGGAGGAGTCTGATTCCCTCTCACTGAGACTCCCATCACACAGGAATCTCGCTGCAACACGAGACCAACAAACCCGAGAGCTTATCATCATCATCATCATCATCATCACCATCATCACCATGTCGGTACCGGAGGCGCGCGAGGCGGGATCCTCTCTTCAATTATGCAGGTAGGGGCGTTTAACACGACACATTAACACATGTGCGAGCAGCCTTCACATGCTAGTAACGTGCTGCTGCTGATAACCGCGCGGCTGCCGGCGTCGCTCAGCGTTCCTCCCAGGATAATCACCCCAGATAATCCGCTACATGTCCTGATATAATGCACAAGTACATCCCCGTCTGCACAGACACACCGTCGCTATACCGTCGACAGGGTTTCATCCTGGATAGTTAACGGTCATTGAAAGGGGGTGTTTTCATGTTATTTGTCAGTGGGCTTCCGGCAGAGGTGCAGACCATCTATGTCGCATGTCGTATATGATGACCTCAACGCGGTTAGAACCGGTGGGACGCGCTAAAACTACCAAGGACACATTAAGGTCGCCATCATTTTACGGAAACGCTAATAAAAGTTTTATTTTAAAGTGTAGCTTTTGAATAATTTGGCTGCTGTAAACAGTCTGTCTCGACTGTGTGCTGAAATGGCGTGTAGTTGATCCATTATTTATTTTCCCAGAAAAGAATATTGAAGAACATTGAAGGGAAACAGCCAGCTGTGCAGTGGTCATGACTGCCACCCATTAAAATACCTTTACAGTGAAAATGCTTCATTTCCCAGAAGCACGCAGGGTTGATTGTACAGTACTTGTGTTGGCCTGTAGGTGGAGGCCAACAGCTCTGTCACAGCATGTCAGAACTCAAGCTTATGTTTGAGATTGTTTGTGAAAGCCCCCAAAGCTCACCACAGCTTTAAATTCTCTCAAAGCAGACACACACAAACCTGTCCTGTGACTTGTCATGTCTTATCCAGCTTTGTCTTGTCAGTTGCATCCACTGAAGGCGTGGTTTATTTAGCTGTTAGCCACATTTGACACATTTTGACACACTGCTGACTCACTCACTGTTTTTTTTTTGTATGTTTGGCTTCACAGAAAGAAGAGATTCCAACCTCATATATAACCACATACATAGAACAACCACATATATGTATGGATCTATAACCAGAGCAGACGCTGACCTCAGCAGAGACCTTGAAAGTAGATTCTTTTGTTGAACCTGTAATATTTTGCTCCGAATGCTAGCCTAGTAAAATCACACAGTCCCTTTAGTTACAGCTGTAAGAAATTTCTAAAAACATGTCATTACCTCCTTTGCTTTTAAAGCTGAATTATAATTAAACAATGCAACTCAGTCTGCTCAATTAGACTGTTCAACCCAAGTAAAATGAACAATTAAAATATCAACCTGTTTGGTCGTAATGTCCGTGTGACAGGGAATTTTTCTGAAACATTTTCTTGTTTATAAAGTTATGGGGAAGGCAAGAACATTTGGCTGTTTTGTCAAAATATTCTTATATTTGAGCTTGTCAGTATGAGTGAGCCATAACCTGAAGCCAGAGCTTTTATATGTGCCATAAACTGTATTATGTTGTAAAGATTAGCAATACAGTACGGATCAGATGATTCCGGCCTCAGTGGAAGCTGTGAAGCCTGTTTGACTTTAACATGAGTTCCCTGTTTAAGCATTTAGCTGACTGACACAGACATAAGAGTCAGATGAAGTAGTGTGATGCCAGCAGATGGAGACCTCAGCTCTAGATCCCTTACAGAGTCTAAATAGATGAAATGCTACTTTTTTGGTTGTATCTGCTTTCTTAAGCTCGTCATGTCTATATCAGAAAAGATTTACTTCACCTTTCACAGTGACCTTTACCCTCACTTCAAACTGTATGAAAGGGCGGGTGTGTGAGCAAACATAGCCAGTTTATCCGCCAGTTTTTATTTGCAGGGGTTTGCCAGTGACTGCAGCCACTCCATTCATTCATAATTCAGTGTGTCTCACGGCTGCAGTGCTGAGGCCACGCCTCTCTCTGGCAGTTGGAGACACCTCGTTGATGCTACTGTACAGTTGTTTAATATTGTTTAATATCAAAATGTGAAATATTGTGGATAACGCCACTCATCACAAACATGAATTATAAACAGAAATAAAAAGATGAAAACACCAGCAAACCTATTCCTGAGTCGTATTCACTTCATTCTCCACATTTCAGAAATACATTGGGACTTCTTACCTTCTTTTCAGGACCATACAGAATGTCTGGGTTAAATGATTAAATGTGGTAAACAGTGCAGAACCACTGCGCTGTAAATCATCATTAGTTTTACAGTATGTTTGGAAACATTTTATATTATTTTTAGTGCAGTTTTTCATTTTGGCCCTGAACATACAGGTTGATTTGCTCGACAGTAAATTTTGACTTTGACCTGACTTCTGTAACCCCACTTTCTTTGTTCACTCGAGTTGCTCTCAAAAGCCTCCAGCTGCTTCACTGGACTATTGTCGGGCGGTGACCCTGACACTTTATTGCTTTCTTACAAATGTGGTAGACGTGATGATTTACACTTTAAGTTAGAGTCATCAAGTTAGTGTGTATCTGTCTGTTTAAACATACATTAATGCATATGTGTGACTGAGGTGTGTGTTTTAAGGTTGTGTATATACAGTTGTTTGACAAATACCTGTCTCACCTGGCAATGTAAGATTGCCTGGCTAAAATACAATTCAAGCCCAGTTTGCGATGCAAAATCCCCTCCACCCCAGTCGGATCTTTGTTCTTTGCTGTGGGTCCTGGGACAGAAATGACACGAACATATGCTTTTCTGAAGCTTCTTCACAGTTTTCACTACTATTCTTCTCGACACAGGTAAAACTTTGGTGTTTTATGTTTGTTTTAGCAAGAAGATTTTGATTATGGATTATGGTTGCTGCCTTTTCAGGTAGTTGTAAGCTACAGTATATTTCAGTGGTGTAGTTGCTCCTGATGTCACTAACTCTAACTGATGAGAACTTCGATACTGATATATACAGGCAACTGAAAAGTCTGCAAACTATGACCTGCATATTTTAGATACGTAATATTCATATAAATATACACTGTTGTGTATATATTGAAGTATTTTCTACATAAACTACTTTCACATGTCTCTGCTAATTCTAACCAATCCACATGTTGGTGGGCACTAAAAACTACCCACACAAGATCTCGTACCTCAGTGAACAATTACTTTAGTTTTGTGTGCCGGTTCAGGAATTTCTGGCATGGTGCTCATGTGACGTTTATATTGACACAGAGAAAGACTATTGTAGGCTACTACTCTGTACATTATATAAGTGATCCACCGAGTACATCTTCCTCATTTTGGTAGCTATATGTGATCAGGATCTTAAATCCTGACATCAACTTTCACTTGTAAATCAAGTCTGGAAACACCATTGCCACATTTTTGTTCATTCACTTGCCCTTCTTTAACAGCACCATGGCTGTAGGTGTGGCTATGCTTTTGCACCCATGAAATGGTTTGTCTGTGTCAGTGACACCTGTGGCAATTTTTGTGGAAAACGGTCAATGGACAACTGGCTTCTTTGTGATTGTTTATAGATTTCTTAGCTGTTGTCGAAGAAAAATTCTAGAGATTCGTTTTCACGAATGAGCAATGAGAAGCAACTGATGCAGATATTTTCTGAAAGAAGATACACGTTCTA